AGCAGGAAGTATGTTTTAATTTGTTTCTTTCCTGTATCAACTATTGCTTCATCTCACCATGAATGCTTGTTGGGTAATGAAGTCAAATAATGTCATAATTCCCTTTAATTTTTAGATTTAATTGTATTCCCTTCATCTGTGTTATTCAAAGCTGGTAAGTCGTAGGCATTGTGGTACTTTATTGTCCTTGAGACCCAATGAATTTCTGGAGATACACTTATGAAACTTTATTTTGAATGCTTAAAAAACAAAACACGAATAGAGTCATAATCACTTTCAAATGAGGTCAAAGTAATTTCTCGCACACAGAGCATGATGGCAATATTTACCAGATACATTTTCTGCTGTTTGTGTCAATATCCAATTGCGAACATTATGTATATCTTCACAACTAAAGGCAAAATACATTTAGGAGAACATTTAGTCCCCCTGCAAACAGCAGTGCATTACTCGACTCATAACACAATCATGCTGTGGACAGCTACACTTCTCCAGACAGTATTCTTTCAGCACACAAGACTGAAAGCAAAGAGAAGTGAAATCATGCACTGTCTGGCACCAAATAACTAATAAAAGGAAACTGTTTTTCTGTCTCAATGAACCCTTGTCTACTTCATCAATGCCAGCACACAAACAAAAAAACTATTCTGAGCCTGTTTTAAATGATAATCCATGGCTGGCAGATCACCCGTTTTATGAAAGGCTGATTATCTACTGAGTTCTTGTGAAATGGACAGAACAAACTCTCAATTTCTTAAGTGACAGCTGCATCCATCATTCTGAAATTACAGACACCAAAACAGAGACAGCAAAGTCAGGAGGACTCTGATACAAAACGATTGTATAGTGCATAATGTGGTACAGTATGGCAGGAAAGTGTTTGAAGGGTTACGATAACAGGTGATGTCTACACTTGTTGCCACATTTGCTAATATATTGTACATCTTTGATAGAGACAAAAGAAAAATTAACATAAGATAATGAAGACTTGTTGGCTCTTATATTACCATGAGAAATATACATTTTGTTCCTGTTAATAAAACATAATGTGGTCCATAAAGAATAGTTCAATGTGCTTACTCACTTTTTCACAGAGATTTGATGAGAGGATTGATCCCAACCTTATATGTGTATTTTAAGTATTAGGCTAACTTAGCTTAGCAAAAAAACTACAAACAGGAAGGAGGGGCAAGAAAAAGGTATTGTGTGAATAGTTATAACGTGTTTTTTAGTGACCTTTATATGCAGAAAGGACAGAGCGAGGCTAGCTTTCCTCGTGTTTCAAAACTAACACACCAGATATGTTTAAACCTTTTCATCTATCCATCGGCATGAAAGTGAATATGAGTTTTATTCAAACTTCTCCTTTAAGACCAAGTGTATATAAATAGAATGAAATCACGCAATCTTAACTGAGTCAGCAACTTCAGCTGCCAGTTTGTTCGACTCGTCGCGACCAAGGCACACAAACAAACCAACCCAGTATATAACACAACATGTATTGGATCGTAAAATAAACAAGCTGTTGCAGAACATATTATTCTGTCTAAATCGATAGAAGATTTCCGCGTAAATGTTCTCTCACTCAGCAGCAGGTTTGCCAAACAAGCTGCCGGTGAGTCAGTGCCACCACTTCTCTCCTACACTGTTCGTTTTTACACGGACAGCTACATGCTGCCCAGCAGGATGCTAATAGCTACCTAACATCACATCATGATGGTACATCTGATGTCTTTTGATGCCATTTAGACACATTTTCAGCATCTCATAACCAACATATTCAGTGCCAGTAATAAGCCTATCATAAGGTATTTCTTCAATGTTGGAAAGTTCGAATATACCACATGATGAGTAATCATTGGTGCTTTGCCAAATAAAATAAAAGAACTGTAATTAGTTTTAAGCATTAACCTCAATCAGCAGATCTGTCTGTAGCCTGGAGCATCAACAAACAGACCAACCTGGTGTCTCACGTAAATCTAATCAGCATTTAACCAAACTGGCAACACTTTTTCAGGTCTTTAGAAGGATCATTATATAACACGACACATCACACAGTATGTTCATTTTGATGTAAGTGATGACAGGTATGGTTTTAGACCACACTAGGTACACACTCCATGCAGAGCACTTACATATTGTCTGGTCAAATTTCTTTCAGGTTTTTATTAGGTTGGCTTAGAAGGTCACATTTGTTTTAAATTTAGTCTGGCAGAAAAAGGAACCGGCATAGACCAGCAAAAGAAAAAACCTAAACCCAGAGGTGTAAAGCCCACCCTTCCTTCTCAGTATCACCTCAAGTTTGTGTAAGTGTGTCAGTGCGTGTGCGTGTGTGCGTGTGTTTTCTGGAGGACACTAAAAAGAATATATCGAAGCAGTTGCCTGCAATCATTTCCAAGATCTGAGCTATAGTTTGAAGCTTGGATGAAAACCAAGGAAAGGCAAATTAACGCTGGTGTAATTTTCCTACATCAAGCCAACACGTGTTATCATTGATCAAACATTTATCTGCAAATTGCTGCAGGAAAAATACAACTTCTAAGGATCCGGTAAGACAGAAAATGAGAAGGCGTAAAACTGTGCTGCACTCGTGCAATGAATAAGAAATCTTTGCAGAGGGGGATTCAGGGAACACAGCCAATAGAACAGGCCACCTGCTGTACCTCACGTCAAAGTACAGTACGGCAAAAATATGTAAACAAAAGACCAATTTAATACAACTGAGCTGTGTGGAAGACAATGGAGTCAGAGTTATAGCCCGTGCATGTCATCACTGCCTCTCTCCACCGCTATCATCCTCTCTTTTTCTTAAGCGCCAACCAGTTAACTTATGGTCGCTGTTTGATATAATAAAACGTGATGGTTCAGTTCATCGTCGCTTTACTGATGTGGGAGTCTGAGTTTATACTGAAGGCATATTTCAGCCTCAGAATCTGGAGTGTAAATGTCAAACAGCTGCTGATGGTTGAGCCCAGAGGGCATCACTTCACAAGCTCCCTATTAAACTGGCAAACAGGAGGAGGCAGAGCTGCAGTCCAGCAACCACATGGTGGTAAGTTACAAAACAGAGTTTAAGCTCCTCAGTCAGGCTCTCTCTGTTCAGCGTACGAGCCCTCTCTTTTCACATGCTAATGCAGGTTCTGCCAGCTGAACAGCTTGAATAAAGTGAACACCATCTCCCAAGGTCCTTCAGAGACCTCGGCTTTGGCAGCCAGCCTCAAGGGTCGTCAAGAATTCATTAAGAGCTGTGTGTTAAGATTTAAGCAGTGGTTTGTTACACTGCAATAGAGGAAATATAACATTGTGCTTCCACACCTGCAGCCAATACATTTAAGGACACCTTTATTAATGTGAGCATATATATTGAAATAGCATATTGACTGGCAGCGTTTCTTTGTTGTTAAACTGCTGCTGAAACCAAGTTTTTTTTTAAATTGGATTTATTAGCCCATGCATAATAAAGCAACCCTGCGAACTTGTTATGACCCAATCAATGACACACTGATGATTTGGCCCCTTGTGCCATGTACACATTAACCATAAAGCAATAACTCACTGGAAGACAGGTGCAATTTCCAATCTGAATGTCATTACGGTTTGCTCACTGCCTGCTTCAATTCATAATATTTCCATTGTTGTGAGGTGGTGGATTGTGGGAGCAGAGCCCTCTGTGTCTGTAGGCATTGCAACACACCAGCTGTGAATGAGAAACAAGCAGCGTTCTCCATAAATTAACATTAACTTGGTCCTCACACACTTCAAGGGCCTTGACTAATGCAAAGAGGCAGCACACAGGGCCTAGCTCAATGAAACAAGAGTAATTCTCCCATGACACAGTTGGATCAAAGATAAATAATTGATGCCTGAATTACCAAAAGATGGCCTGGAGTAAAGTGGAAAGCAGCAGAATAAGATATAATACATTTTCTGAATGACCAGTGCACGCCACAAGACAGAACTGAGGTTATAGAGCCACAGAAAGTCTAGGAGGTAGCAGCGTATATACAAAGAAGAATGTGCCTAAAGAGGAATCCTACAAAGCCAAACGCTCTGAGCATCTAAAGGTCCGGACTGGAACATGACTCGGGGGATGATCAGCTGAAGCCCCAGAGGCGTAACATTAGTGAAACCACAGAGAGTAAGAGTGCTATAATGGGGCCTTCAAACTGAACCCTGGCTCCACTTGGAGAAATTACTGCTCATAACCAGTCTACTCTGCTTGTATGTGCAGTATGCCATTTCACTTTCAAACTAGACAGCAGAATTCATTTAATGCATATTTGTATTCAGCTTAAAAGGATTCTGAAATATTGTCACAGGTTAAGGAGTCTATGAAGACACAAGTCACAGAGTGTTTGATCCATGTTGCCAGGTGGAGACAGTCAATCACTATGAATCAAAGGCAGAACGTGAGTGGAGTGTGATCAGCTGAATTAACCCACATTGAAATCACACACGCCATTACAGGACACTGAATATTAATAAATTGAATGCATTAAATCTAGCACCCTACATTTGAGCCTACCACAACATCCCCAGTTAGCAACATAAATGGCCTAAATGTAAAACAATTAGTTGCACTGCACTGATTTAAAACAGGGATCATTTTACCCAGCAATAAAGCTGCAGAAAATAAAGCTAACACTCATTGTGATAAATCAACATCAGCACAAAGAAATCCGTTTGGCTGATGTTGAATTAATGACAATCCTTGTCACACGAGATACAGACAAAAATAAGGGCTAGGTTTTTCCCTAGCTCTGATCCTCTTGTCATTGGGTTGACTGTCACGGTTTACCATATTTATCATATTGGGGAGAGTCAATCAATGCATGCTCTCTGGTTTAACGCTAATCCAGAGATGGAAAGCAGTATATTACAGGAATAAAAAGAACAACACAAATACAGGGAAGTCAGGCTGACAAACAGGCTGTTGGATGGGCAGCCTATGCAGAGACAATGCACACAGAGCGGACACACACATCACATCCACACCGCACCTTTCACTTGGGTCTCATAGTCCGCTATGATCTCCTTATCCTTCTTGTATTTCGTAGAAGACATCCTGCCACGGGTTTTAGGGTTACACCCTGTTTGTCGAGGACTGTCTTGGGTCTGAGGTGATGATCTTGTAACGTTGCAGCGCTTTCCTCGTATTCTGTTCTAGTGGCCGTGCATTGAAGAAAACAAAAGCAATAATGTGTTGTATTTCCGCAGTCCGTTCAAAACACCCTATCAGTACATAAATAACACACGAGCAAAGTCCAATGTTGCATTATTGTCTTTTTCTGCTCGGGTTTTCCCTCAGGCAGGGGAACCAAGTCCTCCTCCTCCTCCTCCTCCTGGTACCAGTCCACTCAGTAGCTTCAGCCGGAAAAACAAAAGACACAAGCGAGCTCACAACTGTAATAACACCATGATGAAGAGAGCCGGGCGAACCATGGAGGTTTTCAAGCAGTCAAGACCCTGATTGTAGTAGATATTGTTAACGGAACATTAAGTAACATGCGCACGAGCATCGAGGCAAGCAGACACCATTCGCTCTGACAAATTGCGCTGCAGGGGAACAGGAATTTAAAAGATCGTCACGTGAGCCTCCTCATATTGTCAACCACCCCTTCTTTCCCCCGCCCACCCACCCTCTCTCTCTCTCTCTCTCTCTCTCTCTCTCTCTCCTCTCTCTCTCTCTCTCTCTCTCTCTCTCTCTCTCTCTCTCTCTCTCTCTCTCTCTCTCTCTCTCTCACACATACACACACCCACACCCACCCACACACACACACACACACACACACACACACACACACACACACACACACACACACACACACACATAGAAACACATAGACATTTAATATGTATGTAATCGTCGTCTCATCATCATTATCATCATCATCATCATCATATACTGTATCATACCTGTAGGCCTGTCATATTTATGTTTCCGGAGTTAAATAATCCTGACCATATAAGAACTTCCCCCTCTTCTGACTGCATTGCCATGGGAACCACACATTTGTACCTACATTTTCACCCTTCTGTTCATGAGTTGTGGCACATCGTAGCAGAGGTTGTGAAGGATAATCTCTGAAGCTCATGTATGAAACACCACTGATTCATTTTAGCCTATGAATGCACTGCTATGGTATTTGCATTGTTTTTTTAAAGGTTTAAAGGTCAATTGTCCTTTGTACCACCATTCATTGTTGCAAACAGGTATGTTGACATGCTTTCATTGCACCCTTTGTTTACCTATTCTTCTCTGTTGGTAGAGCTGAGGCTTCCTATCATAGATGATTAGCAAGAATATCATGGGCAGAAAAATGTCTTTAGCCTTGTACGCATTTAAAAGAGAATAAAAACGTACAAACTGTTGCAAATTATTGATGTGAAATATGAGCACAACCAAGATGAATCCATGACAATAATACTCTCAAAGTACTGTAAAGATATGCATTTGTATTTTATTTGTTAAATGGTTTGTGTCAAAAAATGAATCCGGCTTGTTCAGCTCTAGATGTGTTTCCTGCAGGGAAAAAGCAGATTTAAATGCATATCATGAAGCAGATTGTCAAAGTGTTGTACTGACGGGGGCTGAGCGTGTTTCCTGACAGATACTGTCATCTGGGTGCTTCATCGTGTTTTTAACAGTCCATGGGACTCGGTTTGTGCCTGTCACCTCAGTTTTTCTCAGCTCAAGAGGGAACAGGCTTTTGACTCACAGTGAGGTGACTCCAACCTGCAAACTGCCACACTGTAGAAGCCCTCTGCACTTCATTTCCATCCGCACCACAAAATATCATGCATAATTTCAAGCTGACAGGTGGGACGGCATTCGTAAGAAAATCAAACCAGGAATAATATCCACTTACACTTTATAAAAGCTTTAGGTTTTCAGTAATGGCTGCAAATGGCTAGTCATTCTTTTTGTGATTGATGGATTACATTAATGAACACATATTACGGCACTATCACGCCAGAGGATAACCACTGGCTTATAGTTTATTCATGAGTCTATTATGAGTTGTACTGTTAAGTTAGACAAAACAATGAAGATATTACATTGCACAAATTAGGTGGAACAAGTCAATCTGAGGTTCTCAATTAACATTTACAAAGATGAGAAAGATGTCTACAGTGATTATCTCAATCTAGGAATATCCATTCACACAAAGGTAGGTTATACCCTCATGTTTTACCAGTAACGGCATGAGAAATCAGCTTTGATATCTTTGCTGGGCTTGTGATGTACAAATATATTTTCTTGCTATTGAACACAGCATGCACAGCTGTCTTCTCAGGAGTAAAAGCCCCAAAGGAGTTTTTAGATGGGCACTATAACGTGTGTTTGTATCTGTGTTGTGTTCAGCAAGTCTTGATATGAAAGAGAGACAGCGAAAGGGTTAGTGACTTCCTGTGTTATGTGTCTCACTGCATCACAATGTATTTTGTATCTTTGCAGTTCCGGTGGTCTTAGTTGTTTGTTAGGCCTCATGTATCACCTGCACGTCTGAGGAGAGCAGACACTTGTGACACATCAGCTGTGACGGAGAGGCGTGCTGGAGGGCCAGAGTGACACTTGGGTGGATTCGGCTTTTGTTTGTGTTTACCACAGAAAAGTCAGTGGAGGTAACCTTTCTGCTGTCCCTTCATCCCTCCCACCGTCCCTCTGTTCCTCACCCTTACCTCTCTCATCAGGCATCTCAGGGGGGAAAGCCTGGGAACTGTGACTTCACTGTATTAATCGCACAAAGGTCCATTGTGAGATCCTTTTACTATTTATTTCTATAGAACAAGAGTGGGAACTGCTCTTGTTTCCAGACCCAATGTGTAAAACAAATCCACCCTGTGATACAGTCTGCATGGGCCTGAATGCTGTTATCGAATAGATAATCATTTATTAGGGGTGAGGCATGCAAATTAATGCAATATAGGTAAGCAACAGGTCTCCCTTGAAAAAGAGATCTATGATCTCAATGGGACCAATCTCGTTAAATAAAGGTTTGAAATTAAATGAAATGAAAAAACAGATTTGACATCACTTTATTAGATGTCAATGTCTACAGTTCACTTTTTACCTTTAAATTAAACATTGCATGTGGAAGTGTCTAGAGTTCATGCTGTGTGCTCTGAGATTTAAATTGAAGGTGATCCACTGAGTGTTTATCAAATCTGTGGGAAATAAGACAGAAGATAAGCCTTTAGCCTTTGTTTCTGATATTGTCCTTCTTCTTCAAACAGAGGAATCTTTGTACAGACATGTGCAACCCGTTCCAATAAATCTCATATAACCTTTTAAATGTAAAAGATCTTTGGCCTGTGGGAATCTTGAAATAGGCAGCATGTGAAACAGGTTCAGCACTGATACAGAAATATGTAATTGCAGCCGAATGGGATATACTTTCCATTATGCGATATAATCATGGAATAATAAAGTCAGCAAACTAAGAACATATACAACAAATGAGTGATCTTCGGGATCCCCATTAAAGTTGTGTAGTTCGACCGGCTCTACTTTCTGATAGCTGTAGTGATACATGTATTAGAAGCATCATAAAATGGCTTGAATGGCACATGACTGTGAACAAATATGAAGTGGATTTCAGGTTGTGTTCACTGTTATGTTTTCTTTCCTGTCAGTTAAAGGTTCTGAATACAGTATTTTGTAATAACTGATTGAAATTAAGAACTATGAAATGCAAAACACTGAAAAGCGCAGTCTGTATATTCTTTGGATGCCGTTTTACACTGTGGTTATTCAACAATTGAGCACTCACGCTGAGAAAGAGATGTCTAATTGATATGCACATTTCTTTCCAGAGAGGTATGTGTGGTGTCTAGACATTTGTGTTAAGTTAATTTATTTAGTTCAGTCCTTTTGTCTTTTGCTTTGTCTTGTGATTTCCTGTTTTATTTTGTAGTAACCTTTCCCTCTCGTTTCAGAGCATTCCTGCCCTTGTGTGTTTTTCCCTCCAGTGTGATTGTCAGCCCCTCCCTTAATTGTTGCCACCTGTGTGCCCTTACCTAATGTGTATATATAGTCTGCGTCTCCCTTTGTCCTGTGCCAGTTTGTCTTGTCTCGTCAAGCCTGCCAGTCATTCCTTGATCGTGTTAAGTATATTTTTGATAGACTCTTTTGGTTTAATTTTTGATAGTCCATGTAGATGTTTTTGTTTAGAGTTTTGATCCTCCAAGTGAGCGTTTTGTGTTTTGACCTTAATTAAAAGACCTTGTTAATCCTGACCTGTTTCTGGTGTTGTGCGTTTGGGTCCTGAGCCTTGTGACATTCTTAACAGTATGCTCCTATCGCTGCACATGTACTTCGAGCCTAACAAGTATTACCACACTGAGACGGATCTGAAGAATAATCTCAGTGAGGGTCCTCTCAACATTCAGGGAACATCCCAGTATGAAATCCCACAGGGTTTATCATACTGACAGCTTTGAGGATATTCCCTTATTCCCTGAATATCTTTTCTCTACATTGCATGTTACTACAGCTGAGGATAGAAGCATCTCCCCACTTCTGCCTGTATGGATAACACCTGAATTACACATAAGTCAAACAGGACTGTCTGTTTGATGTTCTGTCAAAGCAGCAAACCCAGGAATAGCTCTACTTTTTACTTTGCATTTATTTTCATTGTCAGCCACTGTCTTTGCTTATTTTTTGTGTTGCTAATGTGTTTATCATTGAGTCCTCAATAGTTTTGAAGAGTCTGCTCTGTGCAACCCTGGCCATCTGTTTTGCAATAATTTTTGTTCCCTGACATGAACACACGCCCACGTGTCTGTCATACTTCGCACTTACTAATAAGTTGGAAAAAATGAAGAAGTTGACCTGAATAAAGTTAGAAAAATTACAAGTAGTTTGTGTACAGTGTGGAGACATAACTCAAGAAAAGCTATGTTGTTCCTTGTCAGAAGAAGACTTGCAGATAAAACATTTAAGAAATATCCTTTCATCCTAATTAAGTGCTTTTAATTTAACAACAGCGGATTAGAAAACTGGTAAATATAAAAGCTTTTCTCTTTATTTTATCCACAGGTGTTTGCTAATACAAAATACAAAATCAAAGCTGTTTCTTCCACTGCCCAGAGGTTCAATTAATCACCCAAGGAAATGTAACACAGAGAAAAATACATGTTTTATTATCAACACTCTTACATAAACCAATCACAAATGGATATTATGGGAGACATTTAAACAGCCAAGATGCCTGAACTGCAAACGTGAGAGACTGCACTTTGTTTAATCTAAAATAACATCAATCACAGTTTATTTCGCTATAACTACTATTATACACAATTCAATAGTCACAATCTAGTTGCAAATTGTCACTATGAATAGACTTACTGATGTGATATAAATTAAATCTCCTATAGTAACAAGTGACAGGAACATTATTTGCTATTTTTTCCAGACTGGATGAATTAAAAGGTATACAAATCATTCATTTGAATATCAGGAGTCTCTTGCCCAAAATTGATTTACATTACATTGCATTTAGCTGACGCTTTTATCCAAAGCGACTTACAATAAGTTTTACTTCGGATATGGGTTGTCCTACATAAACCTAAAAT